AAGAATTATATAAATTCAAGGTGTACAACATGATGTCTTGATACATGTACACATTGCGTGATGATTACTGCAGTTAAGCTAATTAGTATGTCCATCACCCCACGGTTAGCTTTATTTTCTGATGAGACATTCAGATGGACTCTCTAGCAGAATTCAGTGTCACTGCATCACATTCTGCGTTACAGCCAACTGTCCCGTGTTGCATGTGAGGTTTCCAGAACGACTCATCCTGCACAACTGAAACTGCATCCTGTCATCAGCACCTCCCCATGCCCTGCGCCCCCAGCCCCTGCGAACCACCACTTTACTCTCTGCTTTGGTGAGCTTGGCTTTTTAGATTCCACGTGTGCAGGGAGGTCTGCAGTATTTGACTCTCTGTACCTGGGTTATTGCACCTAGCATAATATCTGCAGGTTGATCCACGTTGCCACAAATCACAGGATCTCCCTCCTCTCTATGGCTGAGTCGTGTTCCATATACATTGTGTTTATACACTGCATTTTCTTTATCCACTCCTCAGTTGATGGATGCTTAGGTTGCTTCCACATCTTGGCTTTTGTGAAAAGTGCTGCAGTTCACATGGGAGTGCAGGTATCTCTGAGATCTGGCTTTAATTTGTTTTGTATAAATAAACAGACTGGGATTGCTCATCACAGGGTAGTTCTATTTTTAATTTTTCGAGGAACTTCCATACTATTTCCCATGATAGCTGCACATAATGGCTTAGTTTTCTGTTAATGTAGGTTCATAGAATCTCTTACATTATTTTTTGAAATGAGATTGGTCTACAGTCCCATCTCTCTCACTGTTGTTACTGGTTTTGTCATCAGGGTGTCATCAGTCTTACTAGAGGAATCCAGAAGCCCTCTGGCTTCTTCTGAGCTCTGGAATATTTCACATATTACTGGAAGGTCTTTATATTGAAGGCTGATGGTATACACCTTTGAAACATATGAGTCTGCCTTCTGAAGAATATCTTTCAGTACCATTTCCATATTTTTCTAGATATCATTGTATTAAAATTGTTTTGTTTTGTTATTCAGTGTAGGTAATTTACATTTTTTAGAACACAGTAGATTTCATTCATATTTCCAAATTTTAGGATAAATATACCCATATTATTTTCTTATGCTGAAAGAAATCTCTGAATCTGTGAGCATACTTCTTTTTCCATCTTTAATGTCTGCTTATTTTTATTACACTGTTTTTTAATTTTCTTTGGATTTTCCTTGATGGACCTCTGTGGATTTCTGTGGACATTTGAAAAGAGGGCGTCGTGTTTCTTCTTGTTGGAGATTGCTGAGTAAAAGTTTCAGAAGGCATTGTGGGTGGTAAACTTTCCAGATCCCTGTTGTCTAAGAACAGCCCTCCCATGGATGCCTGCCACAGCAGAGTCTAGTTGCAGAATTACTTCCCCCTACCTTGGGAGAGGCCGGACCACCAATGTGTCTCATGTTTGCATAACTCCTATCTTTTATGAAGCCTTTTCTCTTTCCAGAACCTGGCACTATTGCTCCTACTTGTACTTCATTCATTTCACCAGACCTTCTCCCCGTCACTGTCATCAGCTGTGTTCACCCCCCAGATCCCATCTTCCTTTAGTTCAAGCACTTTTATCTGCATGTAGGTTTGATGATTTTGTTCCATTCTTAGGTTCTCTCTTCCTGTGATCCTGGTATCATAGACCCTGCGTCTCTAGGCTCATCCCCCTCGGAACTCAGGCTCTTCCTGGCTTCATCTCTTTGTCCTTCTGCATTGGGTTTGGGTCAATCCTTGCCTGAACTGGGTCACTGTATCAGCTCTTCTGTTTTCAGGATCTATTACACAGACCACCATTGATATGTGTATTTACAGTGTCGCACTTTCAGTCTCCTGGAACTTGGGGTGTTTTCCTTCTTTCTCTTCCTCCTCCTTTTTGGTAGCACCCTGTTCTTGTTTCATGAAGTGACAACCTCTCTGTTTCCTCACATCTGCATCATTGCTTGATCAGACTTTGCTTCTCTGTCATGCTGTGATTTCCTCACATGTCTGAGGATCCTTAGTTGTTGTTCACATTTTTAAGTGAAGGTCTAGATTGTTTGACATTCATTGCTGAAAGGTTCTCTGCCCATAGATACACATATTCTGCACCCAGAGCTGATGCTAGGGCTCTGAGGAAGGGGGCCCTGTTCATTGCTGGTTGGACATGGGGGATCTCGTTCATCTTGGCATCCAGAGCTTCCTGGGGCATGGCCTCTTTCTCTCCAGCTTGGGACCTAGGCTGGGAGTCTCCTGGGCCAGCCCCACCCTTCCTGGTTCTCCCAATGGATGCAGGCCACCGAGTGGCTCTTCCTGAGAACTCGACACATCAGCTAAAGACCACTGAGCACCCACAGTCACCCTCATGTGTGGTCCCCAGTACTAGGGTCCCGGGAGAAGTCATTTGTCTTCACAGTCCTGCTTTTCTTTCTGTTGGATTTAAAGTTAACAGAACCTGATCTTTTTGTCTTGCCTTTTCCAGAAAATCCTTACTGACCTGGTCTGTTGATGGCATGCTTCCGTTTTCTAACACTGCTCTGGCACCATTCATTTTTATTTGGTTAAAGGGGAGATGGAGGCATTGGCCAGTGGCCATCTCAAATAGAGGGCTAAGACTGTTTTTAACAGATTGACCGAGATAAAATTCACAAGCCACAAAGTTCACCCATGGCAACTGCACAATCCATTGGTTTTTAGTATATTCCCAGCGTTTCTCAGCTGTCACCAATATGTAATTTCACAACATTCCCCCTTGAAGAAAAACACCTGATCAGCAGTCACTCCTCATGAACCCCTCACCCAGCCTTGGGCACCCACACATCTACTTCCTTTATCTGTGGCTTTGCCTGTTCTGAGCCTTTTACACAAACAGATCTAGCCACAAGTGGCCTCTCACTGAGCATCATGCTTTCAAGGTTCGTGCATGTGGCAGCCTGTGTCAGTATTTGACTCCTTTTCATAGATAAGTAATATTCCCCTGTGGGAATGGGCCACATTGTGCTTGTGTGGATGGGCTGTGTGCTGCTTGTCCATTCATCTGTGGATGGACATTTGGGCTCTTTCCACTTCTTGGCTAATGTCAGTGCTGCTGTGTACATGGGCACACAAATCTGTGTGAACGTTTGTTTCATCCCTCTGGGGGATGAAACTGGACTGGCAGGGTCACAGGGTCACACAGTGAGTGGCATTTCGAGAAACTATTTTCCAAGGTGTTTTCACTGGAGGCTGAGGCTCTGATGAGGCAGAAGACACATCGAATGGGAACCCAGAGCAGGGGTCAGAGCTGAGACCCGCCCCCCAGGAGATGTCCTCCCTGGGAATGGCCAGACAGGCTGGGCCGGGTCCTGTCGGTGCCTCGGACAAGGGCAGGTGGGAGTCAGTGACAACGTGGAGGAGGTCAGAGAGCGAGCCCCGGATCCTCCATGCGGCTCTGTGTTCTGAGTCTGTGGCCAGCAGTGGGCACAGTGAGGTGGGGCTCAGACATGCATGTGTGGGGAGCCCCTCCCCAGGATGGCGCCGGAGCCCTAGGATGAAGCCTCAGCCCCCACCAGCTGCCCCACAAACCCGGGCAGGAAGCACACATCTCTGTCCCTGGAGGCCCTCATTTGTCCCTTCATGGGGACCCGCCTTTGCTTCCAAGGAGGTGGACAAGGCTGTGTCAGTTTGGCCCTGGCCCTGGGGATGGCCGCTGCTGGCTGTCCTGTGTGGTCTGCCTCGAGGAGAGCGAGGGAGGTGGCTGTGCTGACCACAGTGAGCCCCACTGGGGTGGGACTCCGGGAGATCCTGGTGCTGGGGCTGGCGGCCTCTGGCATTGACATGCAGGGGTCATTTGCTGGGGCAGGAGTCGGAGCTGGGCTCTCAAATGCGCACAGTGACCTGGTGGAAAGAGAGTGGCGGCTCGTACCACTCGCCCGACGTGGCATCCGGGACGGAGGGCGGCAGGCAGAGCCGAGGGCTGTCTGGGAGAGACCCGGGAGGCTGCAGGTGTGCGGACAGGGTCCTCGGGGTAAGTGTCCAGGACCACTGGATCAGGAGGGAGCCGGGACCCTGAATCTCTACGTGAGGCCACATGGGGCAGGAGGGCAGGCAGGCTTGGTTCGTGGTGCCATGGCCCCTGCCCATCTTGTGCTCTCGCCAGCGATGCCTGAGCAATGGGTATTCAAGACTCCCGTGACAACCCCAGGCTGCTGGGCTGGCGTCCTGGAGAATGGCGTGGTCCCGTGTCTCACTGTGGAGGAGACCAGGGCTGCAGCAATGGGCACTGTGTCCATAGCTGGTCTCCCCAGGGGTAACAAGAGGGGTGAGGCTGCTGGGCAGAGCCAGGCCCTGGGGGTGCTCCCGTAGTCCTGGGGGCAGCCACGGAGCTGGGGAGGGTGAATGTGTCTCAGGGGCCCAGAGCTGCTGCCAGGGTCCACATTGTCCCAAAACTCCTGACCTTGGTTCCAGAGGCGGCTTCCTTGAGATGGGCCTGGGGGCCATGTGCTGGGGCTGGGGACCCACGGGGCTAAGGGGGAGCCTGGGCTGCAGGATTCCAGAGGCTAGCACCAGGCAGCTTTGCTTCCTGCTTCATTCCATCTCTCAGGGGTCCACAGACAGGATCAAAGGTCGACAGAGACAGAGGCAGCTTTATTAGGACACAGAGCGGGCACTGCCCAGGGTGCAAGTGGCCCTGCTGGGGTCAGGATTCTCCCTGCAGTCAGGGGTGGCATCACTTCCCACCTCACCCTGTCCCCACCCGGAGGTCCACAGACAACACACAGGTTGGTGTGACACAGAGTTGGCGGCTTTATTAGGACGCAGACGGGGTGCTGCTGAGGGTGAAACCAGGCCTGCTGGGGGTTGTTTCTGCAGAGCTGGGATCCGGGGGCACAGCTGTGGTCCCCCATGCAGCCAGCATCTGGGAAGGACTGGGGGAACATGCTGGTCCCTGAGACAAAGAGCCGCCCCATTCTCTGAGGGTGTCAAAGCCAGAGAGGGCAGGGCTGGCTGCAGCAGCTGGGAGGTCAGCCCCAGGCGGGAAGGGACTCTGGATGACACCCAGGGCCATCAGCAGCTGGACTTCTGGCCTGAGCAGAGGCTTCAGCAGGCCGAGCGGGAGCACGCGGGGCGGCAGAGGAGGGACACGCAGGAGGCCGGGCGGCAGCAGCTGGGCTGGCAGGAGGAGGCGGGGGCACAGCAGGAGGGGACGGGCACACAGCAGGCAGGCCTGCACACGGGGCGGCAGAGCAGGGACACGGAGGAGGAGGGTCTGCAGCAGGAGGAGGTGCAGCAAGCCGGCTGGCAGCTAGACTGCTGGCAGCACGAAGAGGAAGCCCCAGAGCAGACAGGCACACAGCAGACGGGCTTGCAGCAGATGGGCACACAACAGGCCTGCTGGCACGGGGAGGAGGTGCAGCAAGCTGGCTGGCAGCTAGACTGCTGGCAGCACAGAGAGGAAGCCCCAGAGCAGATGGGTACACAGCACACAGACTTGCAGCAGGTGGGCACACAGCAGCAGACGGGCACACAGCAGGCCTGCGGGCAGGGGGAGGAGGTGCAGCAAGCCGGCTGGCAGCTAGACTGCTGGCAGCATGAGGGTGTGCAGGAGCTGGTGCAGTCTGATTGGCAGGGGCTGGGCTCACAGGCCACCTGGCAGCAGGGGCTGGACACACAGCTCACTGGGGTGCAGACCAGGGTCAGGCAGGGGGCCGGGGCGCAGCAGCTGGGGGCGCAGCAGGGGGGCTGGCAGCAGCTCTCTGGGCAGTCGTCCACCTGCCAGGAGTCGGAGCAAGCGCTGGAGCAGACGGACATGGTGGACGCGGCCATGCTGGGGTGTGGAGGAGGTGGGGGAGGTGTGAGTGTGTGAGTGAGTGTGTGAGTGTGCGAGCCTGTCAGCTGCCGGGCTCTGGGGCTTTTATACGCCGGGCGCCTGTGTTTTCCCCAGCACGAGACTCAGCAACGCCTTCCGTGTTGGTGTTTGCTGCTGGGAGGACCCTCATTATTTCTGCTTCCCTTGCTGTGACTTGTCCTCACTCTGCTCCTCACACTTGGCTGACTCGGGCAGGGCCGGTGCCCCTGGCTGAGCCTGGCCCTGGGACACCAGGGGGGGAGGTGCAGCGTCTCTGGGGCTGCCCTGCTGACTTCCACCTGCCAGGTCCCGCGACTGTCCCCAGCGTGGTCTCTGGGCCCAGGGGATGCCCAGCCTCTGTCTGCAGGGGCCTCAAGGGGCAGGCTGGCCTGGCTGGGATTGGGAGAGCCAGGAAAGAGGCGCCTGTGTAGGGAAAAGTCGCTTGAGGACAGCGCTTCCTGGGGGGCTCTGGGATCTTCTGAGCTCCTGATGTCTGCCAAGGGCAGGAGGACAGGAAGGACCTTCCCTCCCCTGAGAGGGAGACGGAATGTTCCGGAAGCCTTCTGGACAGGCAGCTCATTGGGAGGACAAGGTCTGGGGACTGGCCTTTGGGTCTGAACCACGGTCCCCTGGAGCCCTGGTCAGGTGTCCTGAGAGGGGTGGGCATAGGTCATGGCCCGAGGGCGGGGAGGAGCCTTTGCCTTGGAGAAGCAGTAGTGGAGTGAGGGTTGTGTGGAGAGTGGCGGACACTTGTAGTTGACAAAGCCTGTGCTTTGGAGGCCATCAGTCTGGGCTGACCCTGACCCCGGGGCAGGGATGGTCACAGGCGAGCTTCTCTGTCCTGGGGCCTGAGCACAGCGCAGCCTGAGGCTGGTTCTGACAGGAACCACAGACCTCCCAACATCCTTCCAGCCTCTTCTGAATGAGAAAAGATCCGATGGGGACACAGTCAGTCCCACTGCCCAGATGCCTGGGACCTTAACAGGGGAATCTTACTCTATATTTGCACCTTGACTGAAGCCACAAGCCAATACATTGAAACGTGATGTGAATTTCTGGTATCTGTAGGTGGCATGATTCTACCTAGGATCAGAGTGACTGTCCCAGGCCACGTTCACCAAAGGGCTGGATGAGGGCAAAGTCACCGCACCCAGCAGCCCCACTTGTCCCCCTACCATGACCGTGTGACAGTGCAACAGACAGGAAGCCCATCCGCCTGGCAGCCCCAAGTATAAAATGCCCGATGGGAATGTGAGAGGGTCAGATGTGAACAAAAGCGTATACCTTGACCAGGGTGCATACAGCACCCTGTTTGTGCTGGAGACACAAACAGGGACTGTTTGTCCCCTGGAAACGCGGCAGGGTGGGTGCGGGAGACTGGTCCGTGCGCCTCAGCTCGGCATTCGTGTAATTCCCGTCACAGCCCTGAAGGAATCACTGGGTGCACAAATGAAGATACTGAACTGCCAGAAATACTTGCAATCTCCGTGACAGGTGGAAGATTAATGTAAAACATCTAAGGTCCTTACCACTAAAACAGGATGAGATCCAAAATAACTGAATACAAGGTTTAAAACTTTAAATTTCCAATAAGCATTAATGTGATGAACAGTGACTTGACCTCATTAATAACCAAAGTTTCTCAAATTTAAACGCACGTCTCCCCCCGTAAGAGGAAACCAGATTTAAAATGCTGATGATATCCAGTACTCTCGGCCGTAGGGGCTTCATTCTTAGAAACTCATGGCAGGTGTCATTAATTTAAGTTGTGGTGAATGGTAATATAAAATTTACCATTTTACCCATTTTAAAGTGTGTAATTTGATGACATTTAGTGCAGTCACAATGTTGTGCCACCATCCCGCTACCTACCTAGTTCAGAACACTATCATCACTCCAAAAGGAAACCACGTAATATGTATATATATTGCACGTCAGGTTCTGGGGCCCATGTGCAGATCATGCAGGATTGTTGCCTTGGCACACACCTGGGAATGTGGTTTGCTGCCTCCATCCCCCCGTCCCCTGTATCTGGCATTTCTCCCCATGTTATCCCTCCCCAACCTCCCTACTCCCCCCGCTGTCCCTCCCCTAGTCCCCCCAACAGACCCCAGTGTGTGATGCTCCCCTCCTTGTGTCCATGTGTTCTCATTGTGCAACACCCACCTATGAATGAGAGAGAACATGCGGTGTTTAACTTTCTGTTCTTGAACCGTGTACTATTAAGAAGCCCCGCCCCAGCCCCTGGCAACCACTATTCTGCTCGTCTCTACGGCTTTGCCTGTTCTGCACATTTCATATCAATGGAGTCATAGAGTGTGTGGCCTTTGTGTCTGGCTTTGTTCACTCAGCATATTTTCAAGGTACATCATGTAGTATGTTCTGGAACTCCATTCTTTGGTATGGCTGATTCATATTCCCTTGTATGGACATGCCACATTTCATTTATCCGTTCATCTGCCGATGGACTTTGGGGTTCTTTTCAACTTTTGGCTAGTGTGAATAGTGCTCTATAGACATTCTTGTACACATTTTTGTTTGAACATCTCTTTTAAATTCTGCTGGGTATACACCTAGGAGTGGGAACTGATGGGTCGTATAGAATTCCATGTTTACATTTTTTTTTGAGGACCTGCCAGACTGTTTTTCACAGCATCTATACCATTTTATGTTCTCACCAGCAATGTACAAAGGTTCCAGTTTCTCTTCATCCTTGTGAAAATCTGCTCCCTTCTATTTGTCTGTGTATGTGTGTGTTAAATTATAGCCAGCTTAGTGGGTATAAGCAGCAACAGCATTTCATGGTGGTGTGGATTTATGTTTCCCTAATGGCCAACAATATTGGGCTGCTTCTCCTGTGTGTACTGGCCATTTGCCAATCTTCCTTGGAGAAATGTCTGTTAAAGTACTTTGCCTCTTTTTAAATTGAGTTGACTTTTTGTTGCTGAGTTTTAAGAGTTATTTATATATTCTGGATGTTAGATCTTTACCAGAATTATGATTTACAAGCATGTTCTCCCCTTCTGTGGGTTGTTCTGCTCTCTTGATAGTGTCTTTCGATGCACACAACTTTTTAATTTTGATGACATTCAGCTTATCTGTTTCTTTTTGTTGCTTGTGCTTCTGCTGTCACATCTAAAACACCGTTGCCCAATACAAGGTCATGCATATTTACTTTTATGTTTCCTTCTAAGAGTTTTATGGCTTCATCTCATATATTTAGGGCTTTGATCCGGTTTTAGTTAATTTGTTGGTGTGAGATATAGTGCAACTTCCTGATTTTGTGTGTAGATATCCAATTGTCCCAGAACCATTAAAACAAATATAGACAGGGTCTTGGTCTGTTGCCCAGGCTGGAGTACAGTGACACAATCATAGCTCACTGCAGCCTCGAACTCCTGGACCTAAGTGATCCTACCGCATCGGTTTCCCAGGTAGCTGGGACTACAGGTGCACACCACCATACTCGGGTAATTAATAAAATTTTTTTTTAGGAGCCAGGGTCTTGCTATGTTACCCAGGCTTGTTTTGAACTCTTGACCTTAAACAATCCTCTTGCCTCAACCTCCTGAGTAGCTGGAATTACAGGCATAAGCCATCATGCCTGGCCCCAGAAGATAAGACAATTATAAACATTAATGTGCCTAACATCAGACCTTCAAAATATATCAAGCATAAACTGACAGAATTGAAGAAAGAAATAGACAATTCCAGCTCAACAGTAATATTTGAAGACATCAATAAGTCACTTCCACTGATAAAAAAATTTTAAAAATAGAACAACTAGATCAAAGATCAATAACGGAATAGAGAACTTGAAGAACACAATTAACAAGCTAGATCTAATATGGTCACAAATAAAACACTCAACAACAGCAGAGTACACATTCTTCTCAGTTCTCCAGATTAGGCCATGCATTAGTCCAAAAAGCAAGTCTCAATAAATTTAAAATTATTGAAATCAAATAATGTATCTTCTCTGACCACAGTGGAAAATAGAAATCAATAACAGAAGGAAAACTGGAAAACTCACAAATATGTGGCAGTTAAACAACACACACTTAAACAACGAGTTGGTCAAAGAAGAACAGAAGTTAGAAAATATTGTGGGATAAATGACAATGACACTGTAACAACCCAAAACTTGTGGGATACAGCAAAAACAGTTTACAGAGGGAAATTCATAGCTGTAAATGCTTATGTTAAAAAACAAGAAAGATCTTAAGAAACCAGAAAAGAAAGAGCAAACTAAACCCAAACCTAGAATAAGGAAGAAAATAAAGATTATATGTAGAATAAAGAGAACAAATAAAGAAAGGAGAATAGAAAAATAATGGAACCAATGAAGTCTAAAATTAGTTTTTTGAAATTAGCAGTAAAATTTGTAAACCTTTAAGTAGACTAAGAAAAAAAGAGAAGGCTCTAATTGCTACAATCAGACATGAAAATGGGAACATCACTACTGACCTATATAAATAAAAAAGACTATAAAATAAGTGAACAATTGTACACCAATACATAAAACCAATGAAATTCATTCCATTTAAGCATGTTCAGTGATATTAAATACATTCATAATGCAGATATCTAGATGTAATGGATAAATTCCTATTCACATACAAACTACCAAAATTGATACCTTTATTAGTGTTCTTTATTTTTTAATGTGCCTTCAAGTTATTGTCTAGTGCCCTTTTATTTCATCCTGAGCTGGCATTTCTTGTAGGGTAGGCCTACTGGCAATGAACTCTCTCAACATTTATTTATCCAGAAGTGTCCTAGTTTCTCCAGTTTTGAAGGATCATTTCACTGGACATAGACTTCTTGGTAGACAGTTTTTTCTTTTTCAGTACTTTAAGTACATCATCCCATGACCTTCTGTTCTTCATGGTTTTTTATGCGAAATTGGCTGTTTATCTTCTTTCATCCTGCTTTCAAGATTCTCCTTATGTCTTTCAATAGTTTCATTTTATATTTCTGTGTGGATCTTTTTGAGTTTATTCTACTTGAAGCTTATTGAGCTTCTTGAATGTATAGAGTCACATGTTTCATCATATTTGGGAAGTTTTTAGCCCTGATTACTTCAAGTAGTTAAAAAATTATTGTTGTAAAATACACATAAAATTTATCCCATTTTAAGTGTACAATTCAGTGATATTAAATGCACTCAAAATGTTGTGCAGTCATCACCACCACCAGTCTTCATAACTTTTCATCTTGAAAACTGAAACTCTGTCCCCATTAAACACTAACTAACTCCACGTTCCTTCTCCCTCCCAGCCCCTGGCAACCATCATTTTACTTTCCGTCTTTATAGTTTTTCTTCGAATATTTTTGAGTGCTTCATTCTCTCTCTGTCCTTATTCTGACACTGCTGTTAAGTGTGCTGTTGGTATGTTTGATGATGTCCTACAGGCCAACTAAATTCTGTTCATTTTAAAAATGTTTTTTTGATCTTTTTTGAGACAGAGTCTCACTCTGTCATGCAGGCTGGAGTACAGTGGCATGATCTCAGCTCACTGCAACCTCTGCTTCCTGAGTTTAAGTGATTCTCCTGTTTTAGCCTCCCCAGTAGAGATTATAGATATGTACTACCATGCCCAGTTATTTATTTTATTTTATTGGTTTTTATTTCATTTTATTTTTTAGTAGAAGTAGGGTTTCACTATGCTGGCTAGGCTGTTCTCAAACTCCCAATCTCAAATGATCTGCCTGCCTCAACCTCCCAAAGTGCTGGAATTACAGGCACGAGCCATCATGCTCAGCCTCTTGTTTTGACGCCCTTCAGACTGGAGTATTTCACTTGACCTATCTACCTGTTCTCTAATTTTTCCTTCTGTCTGCTCAAATCTGCTATGAACCTTTTCTAATGAACTTTTTGTATCAGTTAGTATACTTTTCAACTCCAGAAGTTCTATTTGATTCCTTTTTATTATCTCTCTATTGATATTCTCACTTTATTGAAATGTTGTCTTAGTTTCTCTTTGGTCTTTGCCTATGGTTTCCTTTAGCTCTTTGCATATATTTTAGAGCTAATGGAAAGACTTCATCTAGTAAATTCAATCCTGGGCTTCTTCAAGGACATTTTTTTTACTAATTAGCTTTTTTCTCCCTGTGAATGAACCATACATTCTTGCTTTTTGCATGCTTCATAATTTTTGTTGCAAACTGGACATTCGGAATATTATAATCTGATAATTCTGGATGGCGTATTCTCTCTCTTCCCTGTGGTTTATTATTTCTGGTTGTGTGGCTAGTAGCTTTTTGTTTTGTTTTTAAGTGACTTTCCTAAACTATGTTTGTAATGACTGTACTCTTTGTCATGGAGGGGGTCACAATTCCATGTACTTAGTGCTCAGATAGTAGTTTGACAGTTTCTTAAACACCTGGAGTCAAAAGATGTTTTTTTCCCAGTCTTTGTAGCTGGACTCTGTGTGTTGGTTCATGCCTTCAGTGCTCAGCTGCGTGGTTTGTGACTCTGCCTTCCACTTCACTTCCTGCTTGCTCAGAGCCTGAAGTTCAGCCAGAGGTGAGCCCTGAAAGCTTCTCAGGCCTTTTCTGTGCTCCATCACGGGCATGCATGGGGGCCTTGTAGACTCCCAAGGATATGTGGAATCTTCCAATTCCCCAAACTATCTAATTTCTCAGCTCTTCCTCCCAGATTTTTTGGGAATGTTCATTGATTTCCTAACTAATATCCTTTGCCCAGGTGGCAGTGACTGGTTCATTTGCCTTTAAATGTTCTGACCAAGCCTCTGTGTAGCTGCTCTCTGCCCGAGTCTGAGTCTGAAATAAGGCAAGCCCTGTGTGTTAGTCCTTCAGGGAGCCACAAGACGGGGGAAACAGACAACCACACTGTCTTGCAAACAAGGCCCCCTCTGCTTCCCTGGCAGCAGGGCCCCACACCAGGAATTCTGACTGCCGTCTTCCTGTCACCCAGCTGAAGATGGGGGTGGGGCAGGGGGAGGTTAAAATCCACAGTCGCTCCATTGGGTTCTGTTGCATTTAGTTGCTTGTGAGTTCCCTTGCTTGCTGCAAACCTTCCACTATTTTCCAGATAAAACTGAACTCCAGCCCCCTTTGTTTGGCTGGATGGACGGACGGGTGGGGACGGGCAGGTCTTGGGAAAGCGATGGTGGAGGAAGCCCAGGACACCGTGGGACCACGTCCAAACCAGAGCGTGGGAGAACACATGACCACGTGTGCAGATGTAGCCAGACAGTTTCAAGCAGGATGGAACAAATCTGAGAACAGATTCCTGGAAATACACCTTCAGGGCAAGGAAACGCTGGCTGGGCGTGGTGTGTTCATCTGTTCGGGTTTCCCGTTTCTGACGTTCCGCGGAGGGACAGGCCCTCACAGCTCCTCTCTGCACCACTTTCTCCGGTCTTCGCAGGCACAATTTGGGACAATCTTTTGCGGGCAGTTCTCAGCATCTCTGTGAATTCAAAATCCATGAACACCCCGCGCTAGCATTGCCGCTCCTGGGAATTGAGGCACACACGTACCTGAGTGTGGGAAGGTGTATGGTGGGAACACCCACAGAGGCGTTCTCTGTAATCATGAGCAGCTGGAGAGACAGTCGGTGCCATCCACCTGCTGCTGCATCCACCAGGTGCAGCGGGTGGGCACGTTGGAACGCCGTGCACCTTGCTGAAGAAAACCACGAGAAAATATTTTTGCTAATCCAATTGGCAAAAATAAATAAATAAATAAATAAATAGAAGAAGATGAAGAAGAAGAAGAAGAAGAAGAAGAAGAAGAAGAAGAAGAAGAAGAAGAAGAAGAAGAAGGAGGATATGGCCCCCGTGTTGTGACTGTTGGGAAGTAGACTCAGGGCCTCTTGCGGGCAACGTGGTGACGGTCACAGCTCTCCAGCGTCCCTTGCCTGCAGTTGCATTTCTAGGAGTCTCAGATTTGCTCAATCCCATTTGAAAGCACGTCTGGCTACATCTGGACCTGTGTGTACCTCGCCCTCTGGTCTGCATGTGCTCCCACACAGTCCCAGCTTCCTCTGCCATTGGGGTCTTCCTGTTCCCACCTGCCCGCCGCCCCCCAGGCCCAGCACAGGGCGCTCCCGAGAGCGCTGCCTCGTTTGGCACCCTGTGCAGGCTGGGCTTTCCTCCGCAGCCTGCGCTCCTGTGTGTGCCTGACTCTGGTGAGCACACAGCATTCGTTCAGGGCCCCCTGGTGCAGCGCTGGCTCCATTCACCTCCATTCCCTCGTGGATGGATATTTCGGTTATTTCATGGTAACAGACAGTGCCGCTTACGTACATGTGCCGGGGATTTTCCGGAACTGCAGGGTGGGCTCGCCGCGTGGGGCAGTGGGTGCAGCAGTCCTGGGGCCTGGAGAGCCCCACAGCCAGGGCATGGCAGCAAATGACCAGGCTCAGGAAGTCTTGGGCACTGGGACTGAGCGGGGACTGAGCCTTCCTGGGCGTGGCTGTGAGTCCCACCTGGTGACCCCCCTGGAGGAGTTAGGCCACTGTCCCCTGTGACTTCTAGGTTAAGTCACTCATTCCTAGAAAGAGTCATGGCTGGAGGAGACCGATGTCAGCTCGAACCATGTGTCCCCCCACCAGGAGCACACAGGAGAAGAGAATCAGGTGACCAAGGAGAGTTTATTGGGAGCAGGAAGAGGTGCTGACAGGCTCAGGTCGAGGCCAAATGACCCGGGGCAGAGAAGCTGGGAGGGAGGACGGGGGCCCAGCAGGCAGGTGGGTAAGTGCTGGGAGGCAGCAGCTGGGGAGCAGCGAGGATGGGGCTCCTGGAAGCAAAGAGGGTGGTCACCTCAGCACAGGGGAGACATGGGGACCTGTCCCTAGGTGGGGGCAGCCACCTAACCCAGGTCAGAACCTGAGCCCGGCTGAGCAGAGGCCTCAGCAGGCCGGGCGGGAGCACACGGGGCGGCAGAGGAGGGACATGCAGGAGGCCGGGCAGCGGCAGCTGGGCTGGCAGGAGGAGGTGGGGGCACAGCAGGAGCGGACGGGCACGCAGCAGGCAGGCCTGCACACGGGGCAGCAGAGAAAGAAAATGGAGGAGGAGGGTCTGCAGCAGGAGGTGGTGCAGCAAGCCGGCTGGCAGCTAGACTGCTGGCAGCATGAAGTGGAAGACTCAGAGCAGACAGGCACACAGCAGAAAGGCTTGCAGCAGACTGGCACACAGCAGGACTGCTGGCATGGGGAGGAGGTGCAGCAAGCCGGCTGGCAGCTAGACTGCTGGCAGCATGAAGAGGAAGCCCCAGAGCAGACAGGCACGCAGCAGATGGGCTTGCAGCAGACAGGCATACAGCACACGGGCTTGCAGCAGATGGGCACACAGCAGGACTGCTGGCATGGGGAGAAGGTGCAGCAAGCCGGCTGGCAGCTAGACTGCTGGCAGCATGAGGGTGTGCAGGAGCTGGTGCAGCCTGACTGGCAGGGGCTGAGCTCACAGCTCACTGGGGCACAGACCAGGGCCAGGCGGGGGGCTGGGGCACAGCAGCTGGAGGTGCAGCAGGGGGGCTCGCAGCAGCTCTCCTGGCAGTTGTCCACCTGCCAAGAGGAGCCGGTGCAGGTGCTGGGGGAGGAGACTCGGCTGACACAGCTCAGGTCATTGGAGCAGAGAGACGTGGTGGATGCAGCAATCACATACGTCCTGGTGCAGCAGGTGTCAGCCATAGTGGGTGCTGGGCTGGGCGGTGTGAGTGTTGGTGTGAGGTGTGTGGGTTCGTGTGCCCTGGCTGCTGAGGTTTTATACTCTCCCTTGGTATTTTCCTTGCAGGTGTCTCACAAGCCTTCCCTTTCCTTGTTGTGGCTGAGACTTTGCATCCAAGCAACCCTAATTAGTTTACTTGTTGTGGGATGTTACTGTGATCCCAGGACTGCTGTGTGTTGTTGAGTGATGCTGGCCACTTGCTGGTGCCTGTGCCCTGCAAACATACACAGCAGGGCTGCATGTTTGCTGGTGGAGCTGGGAGTTGAACAGATCATGAGTTGGTGACTCTGGAAAACCCAGCCCCACTTTCCTCCTCTCTTTTCCTGTGTATCTTTGCTATTGGGATGTTTGGTACCAGGGGTGGGGTGTTTTGTTCCAGCAGATGCTCTCTACCTGTCCCAGAGTCTTGCTCCACTGAACAATGGGAGTCTTGGCTGGGAATGCCCCCAGCTCCCTACTCTGCCACCCCTTCCTGCTCCATCTGCAGACTGTGGTGGGATGCCCCTGCATTAGTCCATTTTCACACTGCTGGTAAAGACATACCAGAGACTGGGAAGAAAAAGGGTTTTACTTGAACTTAACAGTTCCACATGGCTGGGAAAGCCTCAGAATCTTGGTGGGAGGCGAGGAGCACTTCTTACATGGCGGCAGCAAGAGAAAATGAGGAAGAAGCAAAAGCAGAAACCCCTGATAAACTCATCAGATCTCGTGAGACTTATTCACTATCGCAGGGATGGCATGGGAAAGAGCAGCCCGCATGATTCAGTTACCTCTCCCTGGGCCCCTCCCACAACAGCTGGGAATTCTGGGAGATGCAATTCAAGTTGAGATTTGGGTGGGGACACAGCCAAATCATATCATTCTGCTCCTGGCCCCTCCAATATCATGTTATCTCATTTCAAAACCAGTCATGCCTTCCCAACAGTCTCCCAATGTCTTAACTCATTTAAGCATTAACCCATTTAAGCATTAACTCATTTAAGCATTAACCCAAAAGTCCACAGTCCAAAGTCTTTTCTGAGTCAAGGCAAGTCCCTTCCACCTATGAACCTGTAAAATCAAAAACAAGCTGATTTCTTCCTAGACACAATGGGGGTACATGTATTGGGTAATGGCAGAAATTGGCTAAAATCAAAGGGGTTACAGGGCCCATGTGAGTCCAAAATCCCCTAGGACACTCAAGTTTTAAAGCTCCAAAATGATCTCTTTTGACTCCAGATGTCACATCCAGGTCATGCTGATGCAACAGGTGTGTTCCCATGGCCTTTTGCAGTTCCACCTCTGTGGCTTTGCAGGGTACAGCCTCCCTCCCAGCTGCTTTCACAGGCTGGCGTTGCATGTCTGTGGTTTTTCAAGGCACACAGTGCAAGGTGTCAGCACACAGCTCCACTAGGAAGTGCCCCAGTAGGGACTCTGTGTGGGGGCGCCAACCCCACATTTCCCTTCTGCACTGCTCTAGCAGAGATTCTCCATGAGGGCCCCACTCCTGCAGCAAACTTTTGCCTGAGCATTCAGGCTTTCCATACATCTTCTGAAATCTAGGCAGAGGCTCCCAAACCTCAGTTCTTGACTTCTGTGCACCGGCAGGCTCAACACCACATGGAAGCTGCCAAGGCATGGGGCTTGCACCTTCTGAAGCCACAGTCTGACCTATATGTTGGCCCCTTTCAGCCACAGCTGGAGCAGCTGGGACACAGGGCACCAATTCCCAGGCTGCACACAGCATGGCGATCCTGGGCCCATTAAAGCACTTTTTCCTCCTAGGCCTCTGGGCCTGTGATGCGAGGGGCTGCCGTGACTATCTCTGACATGGCCTGGAGACATTTTCCCCATGGTCTTGGGGATTAACATTAGGCTCCTTGCTACTTAAGCAAATTTCTCCATCCAGTTTGAATTTGTCCCTAGAAAATGAGTTCTTATTTTCTATCGCATAGTCAGGCTGCAAATTTTCCAAACCTTTGTGGTCTGCTTCCCTTCTAAAACGGAATGCTTTTAACACTCCCCACTCCCTGGCAATTGAACAGATTGTGCATCTCTCCCAAGGTTCGTGATCTTCTTAGTTCTCCTGTTTATCTCACAATTATTAAACAACATGCGTGCTCTGTCATTTCTTGCATTTTCAATTTCAGATATTTGATTCCCTATTGCGAAGGAAAGTGCTTTCTCTTGTTTATCACCAGCTCCATGAAAAGTTCCCCTCTTCCCGTCCTGAGAAGGCAAAGGCAGTAAAATATCAATATTTGTTACTTCAGTGTTCAGAATGTTTATTATAGTAAATATTGTTCATAGCCAAGTCTGAATAGTGGAATCAGATTTAATTTTCTTATTTGTACATGTTTTGTTTTTGTTTATGTTTTTTTTCCTCTTAGAGTTAACAATTGCTCCTCCCCAAACTCTGACTCATTCAGCCCCATGCTCCATTCAAGAGGTTCAAACGTAACAATCTGTTAGCTTCATTGATTTTTTGGACAAGTTTCTCTTTGAGCTCTCTTATTTGTGGGCCAGTCTCTGTTGACTGCTCCCTCAGCCTGGTGCACAGGTTTCCTGGGATCTCCCTTCACTCTTGTCTTTGGATTTTCCTTCATCTCTCTCTGATGATGGATCTATTACTTCCTGGAAGCCTTGTCTTTTTCCTTCTAGATTTATGGCCTTGTTTTGGTGAAGCACATTCTCCAGTAACTTTCTGAAAATGGGTGCAATGAATATATATTTTTAAGCCATTGCAGGACTGAAAATGCCTTTATTTTGCTCTTCTATTTGATTGATAGTTTAGCTGGATATAATCTTCTGAGTGATGTTTCGCCTTAGAATATTTTGGGGAAGATACGGAGCATTTCCGGAACCCTAAATGATCCTTGTGCTGTCTCTCTTTTAGCCCCTCCTCCCTAAGTATCAGTTGCTGTTCCACCTTCTCTCCCCATTGGTTAGCTTTGCCTGTTCCGTGGAACTCTTTTATTTCTAGTTCCTTTGGTTCAGCACCATGTCTGTGAGAAGCTCCATGTTGCTGCATGCATCAGTACTTCACTCTTTTGTTTTGCTGCCCCATTGCATTAAATTCTACTACGTGCTATTTGTCCGTTCTCTTTCCCAGTGTTAGCGATTTGGATTGTTTACAGATTTGGGCTGCTATTAATAGTGCTGCTAGAAAGATTCTTGTAAACTGTTTCATTGATATAGTTACTAATTTCTCTTCATCGTGCCCTCAAAAGTGGAATTGCTGGGTCATAGATAGACATATGTTTAATTTAGCATATACCTATAACTTTCTAAAGAAATTTACATTCCCACTAGTTGATTTTATAATTCCGCTTATTCTGATGAACAAAATGAGGTTAATCAGTCTTTTAAAATTTGTTTCTTTTGGAAAGTGTGTAGGAATATTGCACTGTTGCACTAATGTGCACATCCCTGATAAGTAAAGCCACTAACTGAACTTTGGATATCTTTTCTTGTGAGGTGCCTGCTGAAGGCATTTGCTTGCTTTTAAAAATATGGTTGCTTGTGTTTCTTACTGATTTGCAGAAATTTATTATATATTCTGAATATGAGTTGTTGTATATATACAGTGTGTTGGTGAATGTTCAATAGCTGGCTTTTGTTTTTGTTTTTGTTTTTGTTTTTGTTTTGAGACGGAGTTTCGCTCGTTACCCAGGCTGGAGTGCAATGGCGCGATCTCGGCTCACCGCAACCTCTGCCTCCTGAGGCAGGAGAATTGTTCAGGCAATTCTCCTGCCTCAGCCTCCTGAGTAGCTGGGATTATAGGCACGCACCACCATGCCCAGCTAATTTTTTTTCTATTTTTAGTAGAGACGGGGTTTCACCATGTTGACCAGGTTGGTCTCGATCTCTCGACCTTGTGATCCACCCGCCTCGGCCTCCCAAAGTGCTGGGATTACAGGCTTGAGCCACCGCGCCCGGCTGGCTTTTGTTTTTGTAACAAAAACAAAACAAAAGTCAAGATTGATTGCATTTGTCAATGTCCACATGTGAATGCTCCCAACAGAGCTAAATCCAAGCGACCTAGATGACATCATGTAACAGATGAGAAGGGAGTGGTGCTTGCCAGCTCTCATGAGCCAGGGCATGCTGGCTTCAGTGCACCACTGGATATGGGAATTGCAAATAACTCATCCAAGTCTGGGGTTTAAAAATAAAGTTTTTAAAAAGTCAATTTTATTGAAGTATGATTACATGCTGCAAAATGTACCTATTTAAAGTTGCCATTTGATGAGTTTTGAGAAAATATACACCCAGGTAACCACTACCACAAGCAAGATCTGGATTTTTCCATCATCTCCGAGTTCCCAGTAGCACTTTTTGTGATCAATCCCCACCCCTCCTGACTCTGCTCCAGGAAACTACTGATCTCCTTTCTATCTCAAATAGGTTTGTCTTTCCTGGCATTTCATACAAATCAAATTCTATAGTACAATTGATCCTTTAACAATGTCCAGTTTGAGCTGCGTGGGTCCACCTATATGTGGACTTTTTCAATAGATATGTTGAAAATTTTGAGGACATCTGTGACCGTTTGAAAAACAGGCAAACCATATAGCCTAGAAATATTTTTAAAAAATAAGAAAAAGGTATGTCATGAATGCATAAAATATATGAAGATGCTAGTCTATGCTATCGTTTACTACCATAAAATACACACAAATCTTTTATAAAAAGTTAAAATTTATCGAAACTTACACACACACGCACTTACAGCAATGCATGGCGTCACTGGCAGTCAACAGCAACGGAAACGGACGTAGAGGTGCGGTATGAAACCGTAACTGCATCCAGGTAACGCTCGTCCATGCTGTGCAACTGGAATGTTTCTGCAGCCACCTCCTGCTGCCATTGAGCTCAAGTGCTTTGCGTGTCTGCTTCAGATGCTGCCCTGTGTGATGCTGATCGTCCCCCAGGAGCAGCTCACCTTCCCAGCAAATTTCACCTCACAGCAAAAAGTGATCTCTTGTGATTCGCCTGTATTTTCTGTCATGTTCAGC